TAGGCTTGCAACCTCAGCACTCAGAAGGCTGATGGAGGAGTGCCACAAGTTCTAAGCCAGCCTGAGCTACATAGTAAAACTTGTTTCAAAGAGTCAACCTTCCTCCCAAAATGCTTTCAGTTTCTTATTAGTATAGGCTTCTGCTAATGGTAAAATGGCCTAAACAGAGAAAAGAGAAACAGAAAATTTTAAACAGGGACAAGCACAGTGTGGTGGCCCATGACCTTAATCAGGGCACTTAGGAAGTAGAGGCGAGTGGATCAGCCTGGTCTACATAGTGAGTTCCAGGACAATCAGGGCTCCATAGTAAGACCCTGACCAAAAAAAAAAAAAAAAAAAAAAAAAAAAAAGTGGGGGCAGAAATTAGGTACTTAAAAAAGTTTTTAATAATTTGTGATAGTGGTGTGTGCCACAGCACCTGTATGGAGATGAGAGGAAAACGGAAAACATGTGTTGGTTCACTCTTTCACAAGGGACCCAGGGATAGAACTCAGCTCCTCAGGCTTGGCAGCAGTTGCTTCTGTTCAGTGAACCATCTTGCTGGCCCAGTCCTCCCTCCCTCCCCCCTCCCCCTTTCCTTTCTCCCTCCCTCCCTTCCTTCTTTCCTTCCTCCTTCCTTTCTTCCTTCATCTTAGATTTTTCTCTAACATTGTAATAGTTGGTAATTCTAAGGGCAACTCTGGTATTGACAAAACTATATGAGTATTTGCACGAGTCATTTCTGATGGTACAAAGAGTAAAAGGTAGGGCTTGGAGAGGTTGCTTAGTGGCTAAGAGCACTTATTGCCCTTAGATGACCCAGGTTCCATTCCCAGCGCCCACATGGTGGATAACAACATTTGTAACTCCAGTTCCAGGGGATCCAATATCTTCTTCTGATTTCCAAGGGTGATAGGTATGCATGTAGTACATATAAATACATGAAAGCAAAATACTCGAACATAAAGTAAAAATAAATGAAAAAATATACAAACAAAACAAAACAAACAAAAAACCCAAAACTCTTAAACTACAACTCTGGTTCATACTGTTCATTCTGAATTATTTTCTGCAGCCAAATCAAGAATCCCAACTTCTCCAGAGTCTTTGAAAAGCCTGTCAGGCTGCTGTGTGAGGCTCTGTCTTGGGCTGCTGTGTGAGGCTCTGTCTTGGGCTGCTGTGCATGGCTGTGTCTTGGGCTGCTGTGTGTGGCTGTGTCTAAGGGCTGGTGTGTGCTGCTGTGTGTGTAGCTGTGTTTCAGGTTGCTGTGTGTGGCTATATATGGCTGTGTCTCAGCTTGTACCCCAGGCCACTGAAAAACCCAGGAAACAAGTTTCAAGTATATGACTTTAAATGTGATTTTTTTTTTTTTTTTTTTTTTTTTTTTGAGACACAGTCTCACTAAATAGCCTTGGCTGGCCTGGAACTCACTATGTAAAGCAGGCTGGACTTGAATCAAATGATTTTAAAAAGTACTTTATTAAGATTTATACTCTCCAGATTCTAGTACATCAACTTACAGGAGTAATTTGTATGCAGAAGACCCTATTCATCTTAGTATTTAGAAGTACTCACCCATGACAAAAAAAAAAAAAAAAAAAAAAAATTCCAGTAACCATCCTGATCACCAAGAAACCAAATTAAAAAACAAAACAAACAACTATATGGATAGCCATTTAAAACAATACAAACGATAAAGCAAATTTCTGACTTTTCATTCATTTTCATTTGATTTTAAGTCAAGGAATTTGTTTTCAAAAGAGCTTAGATTTACTTTATTAATTTCAAATTTTCAACTCAGCCACCTCCAAAAAGCTTGCTCCACCTCCTACTTGCTTTCTTCCTGCGAGTCCCTGGGACCCTCTAAAGTTAGCAGATGGACCTGTGGACAGCTGTGCCCTGGTCCCTGCAAGCCAATGTCCTATGGCCGTGAGTGACAGGAGCCTCCTCTCCAGGCCCTCTGCTTCCCATCATGCACCATTCACAGTCACCCCTTGTTCTCAACTCAGTGTCACCTTCTCTGCTCACTAGAACATATGAATCCTGATTGTCAGCTTTCTCCTCCACCTTCTGCTCAATAGGCCCAGTTTATGCGCTGGTTTCTCCCCCTTTGAGAGCTCTTGAGACCCAGATTGAATTTCCATGGACCCTGCATGCTTTACCATTATTTTTAGTTTTATTTTTGTTGTGCTGGGGATCAAACTCAGGACTGACGTAGGGCATGCTAGGTAAAACCATCACCGACCTACATTTTAACTCCTAAATATCTTACACCCCAGGTCAAGGTTGATTGCAATTTATGACTCATTTACTCTGTTACCTATTTCAATGCATGGGAAACCAAGGCATACAGCATTTTTGAAGCTCTGATGTCAGATTCAGATGTTTTCCATAAAAAGCAAAATGAAACACAGGATAAAACAAACAAGCAAACACCTCCCCCACAAAACCCCCACAGAAATAAAAGCAGAACATTTTGTGATACTGTATTCAGAACTCTGTATACTGTTTTCCCCCATCAAATTCCAAAGGGGACAATCACCTGCTGTGTGGTCATCAGACACTTCTATTAAAAGCACGTACACAGACCCACAGCCCATCCCCGGTGAGAGGAAAACCAAGCCTTGCACAAATTGTGCTCTGCTGGGGCTCAGTGTCTCTAAATCCACGCATCACTGGGCACAGTCATCACCAGGAGGGTCCTTCAGGCAAAGACGGCGGCTGAACACCAGGTCTCTTTTGAGCTCCTTCTGCAGCAACATTTACTCAGTCTTTTAAGTAACAAGTCATTAAACATGCTTCAAGCATCATAATGCTTGCCTGCTGGCTGCTAGGCTGAGCACACTAAGTAAATAGATTGTAAGAAATGGTTCACCTTGTTACTGTAGTTAGATTTGAACAGTGCTTCTAAACTCCCACCTAACTGTGAGTATCAGTCTGGAGTCCAGTTACTCATCTTTTCACTTTAGTACTGGAATATCTGAGGGAGGAAAAAAGAGAAGAGTTATGAACAGCACAAAACTCTCTCAGGTTAAAAAACAAGGTTCTTGGAGGCCAGAGGATCTGGAGTTCAAGGCCAACTTGGGCTATGTGAGACCCTGTCTACAAAAAAGGTGGAGAGTGGTGGAGGTGAGCTGGTGCGATGACTCAGGTGGTAAGGGCTCCTAGCCTGACAGCCTGGTTCCAAGGTGAGAGGCTCAACATGATGGAGTCTGTTCTTTCCCACCCTGTATGCCCTAGGGATCAAACTCATGTAACAAGGGTCTTTACCCATGGAACTGAGGCATCTCGCCAACTGTTTTTAGAGACAGGGTCTCATGTAGCCCTGGCTTGGAACTTAATGTGTTGCTGATGCTGGGCTTGAACTCCAGGTCTCTTTCTTGTTCCCATCTTCCAGGTGCTGGGACAGGTATAAAGTCAGAGTTTAATATTTGCTTATAAAGAAAACACAGGAGCTACTTTGTGGAGTTCAGAGAGTTGAAATTATAGGTGAAAGATACTAAGAACGAAATTCGCAACTCAATAAGTACACATGGGAAAGTGGGGAGAGGTTCTATTTTTATTTTGCTCTTCTCTTCACCCTCCCCTCCTGCCTCCGGCTCCCCTTCTCTCTTGTGCTGGAGACCTCCTGGGTAACCAAGCACTTTGCCACTGAGCTGCATCTCCAACCCAAGTTTCTTTGCTCTCTCTACATCTGTCTCAGCATCTGCACACGGTCCTAACTTCCAAGGCTGCACAAAACTATGCTGATGGCATAGTTCACTGTTGCTCTCTTTCTTTTAAGGTTTAATTTTAATTATGTGTTTGTGCATGGGTGTTTGTATGTGCATGTATGTGCCTGTGGATTTCAGATTCCCTGGAGCTAGAGTTACAGGCATCAAGGGCCAGAAATTAAACTCTGGGAGAATGGCACACACTCTTAACCACTGAGATTTCTCTGCTTTCCCACCTCCTCTTTTCTTTTGCTTTTTGAGACAGGGACTCATATAGCTCAGGCTATCCTCAAACTTGCTATGTAACCTAGCTCCTGATCCTCCTGCATCAATTCTCAAGTACTAGGATGATAGCCATGTGTTGTCAGGCCTTATAGAGCTCTCTCTCTCTCTCTCTCTCTCTCTCTCTCTCTCTCTCTCTCTCTCTCTCTCTCTCTGTGTGTGTGTGTGTGTGTGTGTGTAATATGCAATCCAATGAGTGAGCTGGGATGGTGGCGCATGCCTTTAACCCCAGCACTCTGGAAGCAGAGGCAGGCTGCTCTTGTGAGTTCCAGGCCAGCCATAGATACATAATGAGAACCTGTCTCAAAAAGAAAGAAAGCACAATCAGTGCTCTTAACCACTGAGCCATCTCTCCAGCCCTTTCACCTTGTCTTTCCCCAAACAGAATCTCTCACTGAATGCAGAGTTTCCATTTTGGCATCCCCAGTTCTGAGTTCATAGACACCACCACTCTTAACATGGGTACTAGGGATTCAAACTCAGATTTTTATGCTTGTGTATATAGCAAGCATCTCACCCACTGAGCAGTCTCCTTAGCCTCCCAGAATTTGTTTTCTGACAATGACAACATATTTCATATCAGGGAACCTCAGTGCCACTCTCCAAAGCCTTTGGTCAGCAGCACAAAATTGATGTAGCTTAACCCCGCTCCCCCAATACAAACAGGTGACTTTTGTAGGTGACAGCAGTGAGTTAGTCAGAATAACAAAGCCTAGCAGGTTTGACTTCAGTTTGCTTTTAAGTTGCAAGTATCTCACACAAATCAGAGAACAGAATGTTTAAAATGTCTTCATCTACTATATTCTCGTTTTTTATTTTATTTAAAAAGAAAAACTGCTGAGTTGACGATGGTCTCCTAACTGGCGTCATTATTCAAGGCCATGAATGCTTAATGTGGTAACTTAAAATGTCGGCTGAGATACAGTGATCTGACTGGACACTTGCATAAATCTGGGACTACATGGGACATACTTTGAAAACCCCCTTTCCCTCTCTTAGAGTGATTATCATTTAATTTAACAATCTTACCTCTTAGGAAATGATAGCAGCTTAAGCTATAGGTATAGACCAAGGTTTAAATGTCTTCGGGTCATCTCTTGGGATCTAAGGGGAAGAAAAGAAATTTAAAAAGCAAAATGTAACATGTGTACTGGAATGTATATGCTACTACAACATTTGACTAGAGAAACCATACTAAATCTTTATTTATGTTTATTTATTTCTTTGAGACAGGTTCTCACTATGTGCCTGTGGCTGGCCTAGAACTCTATATAGATCAGGGTAGCTTGGAACCTACAGAGATCTGCCTGTCTCTGCCCTCTAAGTGCTTGGATTAAAGGTGACCACCTCCACACCTGGCTGTATCAAACCTTAAAGTTTCAAAAACTTCTCATAAGAGAAGGCAGGGTTTTTCTGGTTCTTGGGGAAACTCACATTCCTTTCAAATGATACTTTTTTTCCAGCATCAGGCTTGACACAACTAAGTTAAAAGGCCAGCATCAAATGACAACTCCCCCATCTCTCTGTGGTTTTTGAGACAAGATTTCTCTGTTTAGCCCTGGCTGTACTGGAACTCACTCTGTAGACCAGGCTGGCCTCAAACTCAGAAATATGCCTGTCTCTGCCTCCTGAGTGCTGGGATTAACTTTAAAAGGCTAACAGTGCTTCCTTTTTTAGTCTGGAACTAAATCGCCCCACTCTCATCTTGGCTGATAACTATCCTTTGCCTCCTGCCTGAGCCACCGTCCCCTCTTCTTGTCTTTATTCTGGACTTGGCTGACTCGTGATAACTCTGATCAAAGCAAGGCATTCACTGCAGAGGTCAAGGCCAAACTACTTCTTAGATAATATCTGGGGCCCAGCTTCTGTGGGATAATCCTTCTGTACAATGTAAGTATGCATTGCCCTCATTGGTTAATAAAGAAGCTGATTTGGCCTATATCAAGGCAGAATAAGGCTAGGAGGGAAAGCAAAACAGAGAAGAGGGCTGGAGTTGAGAGAGATGTGAGCCAGCCATTAGAGGAACAAGACATGCTAGAGAACAGGTAAAGCCACAAAGCCATGTGGCAAAATGTAGATTAATAGAAATGGGCTTATTTAAGTTGTAAGATTATTTAGTTAGTTAGTAATTAGTTATTTAGTTAGTAATAAGCCTGAATAATTGGCCAAACATTTTGTAATCAATATAAGCTTTTGTGTGATTATTTGGAACTGGGTGGCCAGGACAAAATAAAAACTCTGCCTCTGTTTACACCAGTCTCTTGTTTAGTGGTCCAGCATCTTTGCTAGTTGCCATCAGTTAAATTCATGGAAATTGTATGCTTGGATTCATCATCACCATCATTGTGCAATAAGGATCAACTCAGCAGGTCTGGGCTATCCAAATCCTACATATTCCAAAGAAAGATTTGGTCTTTGTAGTTTCTTGGAGAGAACCCCTAAATCTTTGGTATATCCCACCTGATACTATCTCTGGAGCAAGGTCAGCTATGAGAGTCATTTCTTGCTCGTGCCACTGACTCCCAATAAAAACTGGACTCTGATGAGATGGCTCAGGGGGTAAAGGATGACCCCTACAAGCATGCACCTATATACATAAATATGGGGGAAAAACCCACACAGGAAGGTGAGGAAAGAGAATCTGATAGACAGTGAAGTCTGAAAGGCTGAAAGGTCTTGTGCAAAGGATGCAAAATTATTCTATCAGAGAAACAAATTAGCCAAGAGGAAGGCTGGACACCCAGGATGTACTAGATCTAACCACTTGTACAGGCACAGAGACACTCCATAGTGTTCATAATACACATGTAAGTTGTATGTAGAATTACATGTAATGGCATATGCCTTTAGAAGTGTATCCTTACTATATTCCTATGGCAATGTATTATGATAAAAAAGATCTCTTACATTCTGCAGGAACTCACATCCAGAGTTAATACTTCTTGAAGTCACTTAAGACTTAGGACCCTATTGTGGACTCAGCCTGTTTGTTTGTTTCATCCACTTCTAAGAGAACAACATAACAATCAACCTGACCTTCCATTTCCCATGTAGTCACCTTTTACAAGCTAAGCTAATACATAACTTTAATCTTGAGTTCTGTGCTCTTCCATGCCTCTGACTTAGACTAATGAATGTGTATTCTGTATGAAAGCAGCCAGTACAGAAGGTGAAAGTGATTTTCTAAAATGAATAGCCACCATAAATGTTGAACACAGCATTTATGGGTATCGGTTGATAAGCAGTGATGTCTGCTATTTGGTCATTTAGGGTCATCTGGAGTCAGTGACTTCACCGCTTACAAAACTCAGTTAAAGATTTCTATAAAATATCTTTTGTTCCTTCGGAATCATGTGATACTTTCTGTGCCATTCAGTAAAAGAGAACAAAACCCTTTGTTAGAGGTAGACAGACACACAGACATAGAGACCTTTACCTGCTAAGCCATCCCATCAGCCCCTCAAGGGACTTCTCCCAATGGGTGCCTTTATTTCACACAAGATGCTGATGCTGACTTGAGCTGTTGGGGAAATGTCAGCGGAGCACAGGAGACAGGTGGACTTGCTGAGTTAGGACAAGTGCCCCACCAGGACAGCACACTTCAAGGTCATCTTCAGTGAGACCAAGGCCAGCAGGAACTAAATGAGAGCCAATGCACTCAGTGGCCTCTGGTGTGGACCACATCAACGGTTCTTTAGGTGTTCATCTCAGGGTAGGGCCCTTTCCTTTTTATCTGAGACAGCATCTTATGTAGCCCAGGCTTGCCTCCAACTCATATGGCTGAGGGTGATCTTAACCTTCTGATCCTCTTGTCAACAGGACATTTTTTAGATTAAAAAAAAAAAAAATCCATTTGGGCTGGAGAAATGGCCCAGAGGTTAAGAGCACTGGCTACTCTTCCAGAGGACCTAGTTCAATTCCCAGCAACCACATGGTGGCTCACAACCATCTATAATGAGATCTGGTGCCCTCTTCAGTGTGTAGACATATGTGTAAGCAGAACACTGTGTATATAATAAATAAATAAAATTTAAAACATCCATTAAATAACAGCACTAGAGGGTGGGATGCAGGTCAGACAGAAAGTACACCTAATCTGTGTGAAGACCTGCACCCCATTGCTGGCACTACAAAAACACACCACACCATCACCACCACAACCACCAAAACGATGCCAGGCAAGACAGACTCAGTAGTAGGATGACTGCTGTGTCTTGTCACCGGGAAATCCAGTCCCTGCATCCTGGATATCTGTGTTTAAAGCAGAACCAGTTTTACAAGCTAAGTATCAAAGCTCTTACAAGATAGCAAAAGGGGCAGGAGAGGGACGTGGTGAGCAATGAGTCCGTGTGCTTACATGTACACGCACGTGTCTCAGGAGAGTAGCTTCAGTACTTGGGGGCAACTCTGCCTGAGAAATCTGTAGGGATCATGCAGTCCGCTCTGTTCTCTGGCTCGAAGAATCCATAGACTGAGACTAAGGCCCTGCCAATCATCTGTGGCTAAGACTGTAGCTGAACATGCTGGAGGCTGCATGTTTCTACTTGTTGCAGTATATGCACCCTAGGAAATGGAATGCAGTCCTATGGGACTGGCAGTACCAACTCCTCTAGTGCAGAGAAATATAGCATGAGGGTCCAGCACACTTCATCTTGAGCAATAGTATAGGTAGATGGGGCATTAGGCAGGGCATTGTGTTCTCACCCGCCTCTCTCCTCTGCCATCTGGGCGGAGGGGGCTCCCTTTAGTGAACCAAGCAGGTCCATTTACTGTTACTGTCACTGAGTCTGGGCATCATGAGAAAAAAGCAGGCAGAGGATGGCGAGAGAGCAAATACTGTAGAGGAAGGGAGTCGGTACCTGGAGACCCCCTTAGGTCTGCAGGTGAAAAGTAAGCCTTCAGGACCCAGGCCAGTCTCTCACACAGTAGTAGGTTTGTCCGTCTTCCAGTGGCGGACCTGGCTGTTGCAGTGGAGAATACCCTGAGAAGGGAAGGACTTCCCTGTCTGGTGCTGGGGCGGCTCCTCCATGAGTCAGCAAGGTCAAGGCTGCCATTCAAACCTCGTGTGAACTAAAAACCTATTTGCAAACTTGTTTCTGGGCTGGGCTTTTGATTTTTATCTTTCTGGAAATGGAAGCAACTTGCTAATTGACTTTTCTTGTGTTTCTACTGTGTCCTCCTATAGACCTCATCTCTTCCTCCTCCCCTTCCTCCTCCTTCCTTTTTTCTTTTCCCTGATGCTGGGGTTGAATTTAGGGCTTTGTGAGCCTGGGCAAGCCCACTCCTCACCCTTAATCCTCACACAGATCACAGTTTTGAAGCTATTTATTTTTTTCCCCTGCTGGTAATAACAAGTTCCTAAGTTTTTTTTGTTTGTTTTTGTTTTGTTCGAAGCAGGGTTTCTCTGTGTAGCCCTGGCTGTCATGGAACTCACTCTGCAAACTAGGCTGGCCTCGAATTCACAGAGATCCTCTTGCCTCTGCCTCCCCAGCAGTGGGATTAAAGATGTGTGTCACTACTGCCCTGCAGGTTCCAAGTTTTTGTTTCTTTCCGTTTTTGAAACAGGATGCTATATTGGAATTCACTATGTTGACCAGGCTGGCCTCAAACTCACAGAGATCCACTTGCCTCTGCCTCCCAAGTGTTGGGAATAAAGGCATGTACCATCACACTAGGTTTATTTTTGAATGTATCTTATCACAGATTCCTCAAGGTAGCATTTTTTTTCCTTTAATTTATAAGGACATGAAATCCTTCCCGTCTAAATTGGAACAACTTTTCTTTTTTTAAGGCTGGCAAGATGGTTTAGCAGGTCAATCCCTGGAACCTATGGAAAGAATTAAGTCCTGATAGTTGTCCTTTGACAGACGGACACACACACACACATACACACACACACACACACACACACACACACACACACACACACACAGAGAGAGAGAGAGAGAATAGAGAATGTTAATTTAAAAAAATCTCATTTTAAAACAAAAAAATTAATCCTGTTCCTAAGAAGTATTAATTTGAACCTTTGTATTATGTCTTTCTTTTTATATGTTTAAGAGAATTATTTTCTTGTGGAATTGTAAATGATTACTCAAAACACA